CTGGGCAGATAACGAAGACAATATGATCACTAAGACTAGACAGATGACATACCATCATTATCACAGGGGCTGGACAGATAACGAAGACAAAATGATCGCTAAGACAAGACAGATGACATACCGTCATCATCACAGGGGCTGGACAGATAACGAAGACAAAAATGGATCAGACACAGGATTAACCCCAAAAATAATCACAATAGGAAGAGAAAATCTAGAGTCAGCACCATTAAATGGAATAGACAAAGTATTAAGCCTCAATCAATTTATCACCAGTACATCTCGGTCTTTCCAGATGCACGCATTGACAAACTTATGTATACCTCGACTATTTTGACCTGTCCATGTGTTCGGATTAACATAGATCCCGTTCATATATAAAGGCCTCTCCTTGTGGTCTGGTTAACAAAGTTCTCGTACAAGTATGCCTGAGCCTTTAAAGTGTGTTTTTTTTTTCAATGGACTGTTATTTTCTATAACTTTCGAAAACCTGGTATGTTTGTACACAGAGAATTTTAATTAGTAGAGAAAACTATCGACCAATACACCCATTGGGCTTCAGCTTTTGGAAAACCCGCCAAACATTGAAAAGCACAATATTTGCAGTGCCTGATGATCAATTTTAATCCCTTCACATCCCTTTAAAAGTTTTAATGCTGAAAATCGACATGGATCTTGGCGTTCACCATAGTATGATACTAATCATATGGTGCTTCTGTTTTCCTTCTCTTCTTGTTGTATTGATGAAAATGTTTGAAATTTCAACATCGAAACTACATTTTGTTCCGAAATGAATGCGAGAAAGATCTCTCCAGTTCTATGTGAGAAATACCATGGTTCTGGAGAATGGCTTCTAAAAATGAGGCATAGATACACTTCTAATTTTATGTAATACCAAACTTTTTTTTGCCGAAACAGTGGTCACAAACTTCAAGTATCCAAAGTCAAAATTGTTGCAGGCAGCCATTTTGAATATTGTTTAATGTTTACAATGTAAAGTAGGCTGCAAGCAAAATAAATATTGTACGTAACAAGTCCCCAAAGTTTCCTACTGTAGTTAAAAAGACTAGGCGGTCACAAATTTAGTGAAAACAAATCCTCAAAATACAAGACAATGACTTCGGGCCATTTTGAAAACCAATACAATCATGCAAAAAATGACGAGTGTACATCTTGCACCGATACTGACTTTATGCATGTAAAAATGTTCATGGATGAAGTGGCGGATCAGACGTGAATTGAAAACCCCATAATATCATCTGGTGACTGGATAAAAATGCATGTAACTGAAATATCGTAGTATATTGTTTATAAGCAACGAACTGTGTGTTGAAAAACCACCCGGATGTTAAGCTTGACGTCATGACATCATGTCATTTGAGACCTGAATATAGTGCTGCATTCGCAGTAACTGACACACTGACCCACTCCCGTCGTTAGTGGGTACAAATTACAATGTCGGTATCAAATCTACTGTCTGTAGAAGTCAAAGCGTACGTGAAAATCCCCATGCAAACAACAATCAGATCAGCATCTGTACAACTGTCAGCATTCGACAAATCTATTTCAGTATGCTGCAAAACCCGCTAGCTTCAGCAAATCCTATCAAGTCTCGTTCCCACGAGAGTAGTTAACCGACATTGTGAACTCTGAAATGACGTCATAGTCGACTTGACGACCCTACGGATTTGTTTCCGAAGTAAAATTCGACAATTTACCGGTTTTACAATTCAATCTAGAGGAATCAACGAAGACGTCTCCGGGATCTGATCCGCACATCAGGTTCTAGAAGACGATTGATGTAGGTTTTATATGGAAACACTTAAGTTTATGTCCTGTTATGGCGATACAGAATTTTTTTCGAACGCGCTCGCTTTTTAGCCAAAATGACTTACATCTTTTTTTTAGCCAAAATGACTTACATCTTTTTTTAGCCAAAATGACTTACATCTTTTTTTTAGCCAAGATGACTTACATCTTTTTTAGCCAAAATGACTTACATCTTTTTTTAGCCAAAATGACTTACATCTTTTTTTAGCCAAGATGACTTACATCTTTTTTAGCCAAAATGACTTACATCTTTTTTAGCCAAAATGACTTACATCTTTTTTAGCCAAAATGACTTACATCTTTTTTTAGCCAAGATGACTTACATCTTTTTTAGCCAAAATGACTTACATCTTTTTTAGCCAAAATGACTTACATCTTTTTTAGCCAAAATGACTTACATCTTTTTTTAGCCAAGATGACTTACATCTTTTTTTAGCCAAAATGACTTACATCTTTTTTAGCCAAAATGACTTACATCTTTTTTAGCCAAAATGACTTACATCTTTTTTAGCCAAAATGACTTACATCTTTTTTAGCCAAAATGACTTACATCTTTTTTAGCCAAAATGACTTACATCTTTTTTTAGCCAAGATGACTTACATCTTTTTTAGCCAAAATGACTTTCATCTTTTTTTAGCCAAAATGACTTGTGATTTCAAAGCTTCCTTCCAGTAAATGATCCATCTTTAGCAAACGTTTACAAATCTCAATTCATGATACAGGTAATTCTTGCATTCTCCTATTCCAAATTAAACGCATATTTCACAATCTACACACACACACACACACACGGATAAAATGGGTTGTCGAAGGGGGACAACCCATGAACCTCATCGTTCATATGTATTGCAATGTACTGGCATTACTTCCCTTGCTGGGAACCAAAGACAGAGGGAAAAGAGAAAAAACGATTAATAAAGATGAATGAAGTTTAATGTTATCTACAAGTATTCCGGGCCAGTTAGATAACACGTAACATTCATTGGTGAGGCGGTCCGAATTATCGTGTTAGGAACGAACTCTGGGTACAGCATTGTAGTCAATCATGAAAACATTATGTTGGTAAACTATCGGTGGCTCAAAAAGTATGTTGGAGACAGCTCCGTGAGTTCTTAAATAGATAACAATCTCCAACAAACATCGAAACCGCCATTTAATTAGCCCTTCCCATCCCTCCGCTTTTGTATATTGCTTGCTTATGTAATATGTTATTTCAAAAAATACTACAGAAGACCCTCCCCTAGAAAAAACTATCTCTACCAAAGTTGTCGATCCTTAGTCACAATACACGGTAGAGCAATGCAATCGGGATGAGACTGCCAAAAATATTGTTGCGGGGCAGGGTATCATCCCTATTTTAGTCTTGCTTACCTATTAAGCTTGTATTGAGGTGTATCTTACAGGAACGTAAATTATATGAGTAAAACATTAGTTACAAGCTTACCAACTATAACATCACGTACCTTACGTTTCAAGGAGCTATTTTTATTCTTCAAAATAAGCATTAGAAATCAATGAGTCCGCTCTTTAAGAATACAAAAATGCATTCTTTGGCAAAGGGGCGAATGTTAATGTTATAGAAAAAGACTACAACTAAAATAAAAAAAAAACAAGATGTGTTTATGAAACACTATGCCACTGGTTGCAACTAAATTCTGAAGTTGGACATTAAAACTGTTCTGCGTTAAGCATGTGCTAATTGCTTGCACAATTTTTCAAATGTAGGTCAATGGTCACGGTCAAGGTCACATGGTCAAACATTTCGGTACCATCGGAAAGGTCTTGTCACAAGGAACACACATGCCAAATATGGAAACCATACTACCTCCTACGGTAGTTGACAACAGACAAACAAACAGCATGTCCCCAATCTTTCAATCCGGGTGCATAAAAAAGGTTTAGGTCATACCTGCATGAACGTCGAACTTTTTTGTCTCGAATAACACGAAACATATTTTTTGAAAGTCAAAGTGTAAGGATTAATCGTAGACCATCCCGTCGTTGCTGTAAGATACATTGTATTTAACTACCAACAGAAAAAAACGACCGTCAAACAGAGGTATTTCACCACTAACAGTGATCACAGAACATTTCAGGAATGAGGAAGACTCAATAGAAAAAAACTTGAGCCCATAAGCACGTGTTGCATTGTCGCGACTCATCCTCAACAGGTAAGGGAGGTAGTGCATGTTAGAAGTTGAAAAAAATAATTTGATAAAGCACTATTCATTTGTGTGGATCACAAGCCAATGACAGTGCCATTTTAACGGTTTATTATTGACTTGTTAAACTAACAAATCTTTTTGCTGTGAATCGCGATCTGGTTGATACAGAGGTCAACGATTAGCTCCGGAGCTGGGTTTTACCCAAGTTAACACCCCCCCCCCCCCACACACACACACACATCTCCCTCCCCCTAAATGATAATAATGATAAATCTGTTAACTATAGTTGTAATGGACGAGTTGACGAGTTGGATATTATATTTGAACGTATTATAAGCTAAATTTTGAATGTAACTTGTCGGCGAAGCTGATGTTTGTTGTGTATACCACGCTCTAAAAAACACACTGAACTTGATTTGCAATGTTCGTAGATTTTTAAACTAGCTACAGGCACATTGCGGCATGATTTTAATGACGTCAATGAGAATTAAAAGAGAAGACGGTATCAGGAGTATCAGTAAAGCCTTACAGTAAAAAGATACACTTGGAGATTGTAACCGTTTACGTCTCGTGGGACGTTAGTTCAAGGGTAGAGTTACTAATATCGCTATCCATATCAACTTTACATACAACTTGATGATAAATAGGGCGACCCTAAGGCTTTCGTTAAGCTACACCAATACATACCAAGTACAACATTTCCACCAAACAGCTATAGATCATATATAAATATATATATGTATTTATATTAGATTTACATTACATGACTACAGGTCCCTGTTGGACATCTTACTGGGAGTTTACATAGTATCATAAAATCTTGTTTTCTTTGTCATAAACATTTGATCGATTTAACTTTTGACAACTGTTGAATCATCAAAAACAAATTATTTCAACAAATAAATTAAATAATTTCATTCTGATATGTCGCTATTTTGAAAATATGACGCGTTGATAACCATATATTTTTTAAAACTCAAATACAGTAACATCCATTGACTTACCTTATAATGAAACCCTTCTGTTTATTAGTAAGAATTGATATTTCCAGTTGTACATGTCCAAAAGTTTCTTAAATAACTCGATCTAAGTGGAATCCACTTTCCACAAAGAAGCTTTTCTAAAGGAACATTTCTATTTAAACATCCTTATTTATAATTCCTTGATCCTCCATTGAGGCTGACGTACGAACTACATACTGTTTGTATATACAACAGAAACGCAAACAGCTGTTCGGTCTGTAAACCACTCAACGGGACAGGTACTACTGATTACTCCGTAGAACCGGTAGGACTCCGTAAATCACTCCATAGGATCGGTACATTTTGTTGACTCAATGATAGGACTGGTGCGAATACATGGGACCGAATGAGGACTCTGTTAATCACTTCATAGGACCGGTATAAATGCCTATTAAGAAAACACCCCATACTGCAGGTACTTTTGCTTACTCCATATAACACCACGGGGCCAATAAATCACTCCATAGGACCTTCCCTAAAGTCATACACTCCATAGGTCCAGTACCTTTATTGAACCTAAAAACTTCTTCATATGAAAGGTACAACTGCTGATTCTGTAAATCACTCTATAGGACCAGTAAATCACTCTGTAGGACCAGATCATTATATCGGACTGTTGTTGACAGTTAAATCACTCTATAGGACCAGATCATTATATCGGACTGTTGTTGACAGTTAAATCACTCTGTAGGACCAGTAAATCACTCTATAGGACCAGATCATTTTATCGGACTGTTGTTGACAGTTAAATCACTCTGTAGGACCAGATCATGATATCGGACTGTTGTTGACAGTTAAATCACTCTGCAGGACCAGATCATGATATCGGACTGTTGTTGACAGTTACATCACTCTATAGGACCAGTAAATCACTCTATAGGACCGGTAAATCACTCCATAGGATCGATACTTCTGCCGCCTCCACAGGACCCGCACTGCCGACATCGTTACACATCAGGACTAGAACAAATTCTCCTTCAGAAGATGTCACCACCGACCCTGAAAACCACTTCATAAGCTTACCTGACTGCTGACACTGTCGCCATGCCAGAGGACTGCATCAACAACAATTCTCTGAGCAACATGTATGACCGTCTATTGTGCAAGTTACTCCATCGTGAGTGATCACCCCTTAAGACCAGTAGCACTGTTGATTCTGTAAATTACTCCATTAGTCCACTCCAGCTCAGAAATTCACTTTATGAAAATAGACGCTGTATCACTGTCGACTCCGTAAATCACTCCCTTGGACAGTTCCGGTTGAGTTAATCACCTTGTAGAAGTGGTAAAACTCCTCCTGATTCTGTATTCACTTTACGGGACTGGTACTTCGTAAATCACTCCCTAGGACCGTTCCGGTTGAGTAAATCACCTTGTAGAAGTGGTAAAACCCCTCCTGATTCTGTATTCACTTTACGGGACTGTTACTTCGTAAATCACTCCTATGAAAATTGACACGCATGACGTAAATACATTGTGTGACCGTTATCCTATACGTTATATAGGACAATGTGTGACCAATATCATGTTGCTAATGCTATCCTTGTAACCGTTGTATTGTGTCTTTTTTCTTATCATGGCCGCAATGCAATGTCATTCATACATTTTGTGCGGATATGGATGTTATATTTATAGCAACAGTGACCTGAATCTTTGACAGTCGTTACAGAAACACTGTATATAAAGTTAACTTTATCTGCCCAGGAAATATTTTTCTGTTAACCTTTGCATTCTGATTTCTAAACTGAAAACAAGCACAAGTAAGGAACATAGTATGAAGTTTGAGTTTCATTGGTCAATGAACTCTCCTTGTCATCGCAAACCAACTTTTTTAATCATATTTACTCTGACCTTTGATCTTTGACCTTCAAATATGAAAAAACAATACCTAGAAATCTTTCTGTAAGGAAGCAACATATCCAGTGTGACATCCTTTTTATTTTTCTTTAGCGATGAGGTAGTGATGTTGAGTAGGATATCTTTCAATTTGGGTGAAAAAAGGTAAAATGATTTTACATCTATTGAAAAAAAAACACATGTAGGAATTATTTTTCATTACGCAAGGAATTATCAATATGTTAAGGATGCGGCGAAGACTGAGGTTGGATGTGGTGGCGAAGATTGAGGTGGGATGTGATGGCGAAGACTGAGGTGGATCTGGTGGCGAAGACTGAGGTGGGATGTGGTGGCGAAACTGAGGAAATATATACGATTCCAGGTTTAAATATCGACCCATCAGTAGGAAAATGTGTCGTGCATAGTCGTTATATTTCTTATACATTTCCACAGCACGTAACTTGAAATCAGGAAAATATATAATTCTAATCATTCAATTATGCTTTCCTTAAGGATATTCTATATGTCAGATGTTTACTGATAGACCACATTTGCATATTTTTTCCGGCAGAATACTTCAGTATATTTCTATAACGATAGCGGGTAAGATACAAATGTAACTTCCGTAGCGAATTATTACACTCTTAGGACTCGTGAAACTGCCCTTGTTGCACTAAAATCGCCCTTGTGTTTCTCTAGTCTGGTGCCTAATCCTATTAGCGATGCGACAGATTTAGAACTTTGACACACATCAACCATTCATTGATACGGTAAGTTCACAGTAAATAAAATTAACCTACTTGATGTTTTTTGTACAATCAGTACAAGGCTAAACATACTCAAGAGGCCAAGAGTTTTCAACTGAATTTTGGAAAGTCGGTATGACCTTGGGATTACTGATAACTGTTATATTGAACTATTGACGTGACCTTGGGATTGCTGATAACTGTTACATTGGACCGTTGGTATGACCCTGAGCTGGTCGATGACCGTTATATTGGACTATTGACGTGACCTTGGGATTGTTGATAACTGTTACATTGGACCGTTGGTGACCTTGGGATTGTTGATAACTGTTACATTGGACCGTTGGTATGACCCTGAGCTGGTCGATGACTGTTATATTGGACTATTGACGTGACCTTGGGATTGTTGATAACTGTTACATTGGACCGTTGGTGACCTTGGGATTGTTGATAACTGTTACATTGGACCGTTGGTATGACCCTGAGCTGGTCGATGACCGTTATATTGGACTATTGACGTGACCTTGGGATTGTTGATAACTGTTACATTGGACCGTTGGTGACCTTGGGATTGTTGATAACTGTTACATTGGACCGTTGGTATGACCCTGAGCTGGTCGATGACCGTTATATTGGACTGTCGATATGAACTTGAGATATACAACTGTTTGAAGTATTATATTGTCGGTATGACCTTGAGCTCGAGATAATTGTTATGTTTATACCTATATCTATCTTTAATACAGAACTGTTGATATAACATTAAGATTGTAATTACATGTTAACAAGATTGTCAGCGTAACGTTGAAGCATACCAGGGGCTTAGTTGACCTTTATCGCTTAGATGTTCCAAAATTTAAAAAAAAAATACATTATTGGAAGTTTTTTGGGAACTTTCATGTAAATCCCAGAAAGTGGGTCAAGGTCATTCCTTTGAACATTTTTAATTTGATAGTGATAGAACTCGATTTCAACTTATTTGGTCCCTGTTATATTAAAGTTGGTAGATTTTAGCAACCCTTTTAGCCCCTTATGACAAGTTACTTGCTTTAGATATCATAGGTATAAAAAAAATACCGTTTGATGCTGGACAACTGACCTACTGTCGGACGACGGACGCTGTGCCACAGTATGCAAGTGAGCAAGTGAGCTAATGATGTCTTTATTTGGCATTCCGAAGTTCTTTTAATTGTATTGTTATTGTCAAACGATGATAAGACAATATCCGTCTTTATCAAAAATAGTTCATGACGGAACATCCGAAATTTGTTACAGTTTTATATTCATCGCCGATTAGAACAGTGTAACATAGAAATAGAGACAAGTGCTTGTTCACACAAAATGGCTGCTTCTCAAAGAATGTCTTTTGGGTAACAGCTGCTACACTGTTGTTGGTTTTGATGTCTTAACAATTGGTGGCTTTTGGGGACACGATCATGCCTCATCAACTCAAATATGACATGCTTATTCTACGCTTCTTTATTGACAATTAGTGGGGGCAATACCCAGTCAAATTAAATACACTCGCGCATATCTGATTATTAAGTAAGAAAGTAAATATAGTTTGAGAGTAGGTAATTAATGAAGAGACCGCAATCGTAAAAGCGTCGTGGGCAAATCTACACAAAATTCAAAAGTGACTGTTGACACACTCGCCTTTAACCTAAGTGTCCGAGGTTCGATTAATGAAACGACTGTGAAAAGTTATGGGGTTGCTTGCCCGACCACGCCGGCTCTTCTCTGCCATTCCAGTTTACTCCCGCAGTAAAACCCTTCGCACGCCTTATCCCGGGTCAAACTGATTCATTTTAGCTATAACAATTTGTTAAGTAACTGTTGTAAAATAATCAAAGTTGAATTTTAAAACTGACGACGAATTAAGGGTCATACCACATTAGATGTTCAGTGAAGCGCGACATTCAGTTTAGGTACATGTGAAGTAATTGCCACCAGTAAATGCCACCAGACAATGTGGAGTGACTAGACTAAACCTGTTTTAACATTGTGGCCACCAAAGGAAACGCACATATAAGACTAAGTGCCTTTTGAGATGTGGCTCACAACGTCCATGAATACGTCGCGTGCTAATGCGTTGGCCCGGATGACAAGCTTATTGATCGATCTGTATTTGTTTAAACGCAGACCGTTTAGTGTGTGATCTAAGATATACTCTTTCCCCTGAGGGACAAGTAAGGGGGCGGATCGAGGGCGGTAGGGGGCGAGAGCTAATCTTTGTGATGCACGTTGTTATCACGTTTTATCCTAAATATAAATACGGGATGCTTACGTCCTTGTAAACATAATTTCTGTTTATAACTTCAGTATTTATTTTCGTTTCAAATGTCAGGACGATATATAGAAATAATATCTGCATTTCTAGAACAAGTAAAATATTTCTGAGTCAGATCATTACCATTTTACGTGTTTCAAATAACACGAGGCAAATCAAAGTCATCTTTACAGCAAACAATATGTAAGATCATTTCTT